GCGGCCTTGCGTAATCTGTTCGACGAGCCCGGACTGCCTCAACTGGAACTGGCCAACATAGCCGAGCCCAAGAAGGATGACGAGGCCGCGGATGAGAAGCTTGCTGCTCAGGTCGCCATGGAGGCAGACGTCATGAACAATGCCATGAAGCGCCGTCGTGAGTTGGCCATGGACGAGAAAGAGGAGGATGACCATGATAATGATGATGATGATGATGAGGCAGATGGGGTTATATGAAGCTCATTTGTAAACGTCCAAGCCCTATAGAAATAGAAGAATACCTTACCTGTAAACCCTGTAAAGCCCCAGCAGTCCCTAAGTATGAATGTCTCATATGAGTTCTACTACCACAAATTTCAGTTTTGCAGGTTCCATGTAGTTTATGCGGAAAAATAAATACAGACATTTTGACTCCCAAGCCCCAACCTGCAAAACCTCAACCAAGCAACCCCCTATAAGGTGCACAAGAAGCCTGCCGGCAAGAGCTCCCAGACGAACAAGAAGCCTGGTCCCAAAGCCAAGGCCAAATCACACCCCAAGGCCAAGGTCAAGCCCCAGCCCAAGGCCCAGCCGAAGGTCAAGCCTGGCCAGAAAAAGTGGTGGGTGGAAACAAGAACACGCGGTGATGGCTTGCAGAAGGACCGCTACTACCACTCGCCGGACGGCCGGGTGTACCGAATGAGGTGGGAGGCGCTCGCAGCCGGCTATGACGGCAAGTGACTGAGAGGCATCCAAGTCTGTGTGTACAGGCAGCACCCCGCATGAAGCAGAAGTACGCCCTGTAGCGTTGATGAAGGAACAAGAATGCAGGTCCTTGGGATCGCATTTTCTGTCTGCAGGGATTTTGTCTCGCAGGCTGCATGGCGGTGCGCGGCTTCATCTGAAAAAGTTTCTATGCGGGTGCATGCAGCAGTCTCCACACGTGACACATACGCAGTTCTATTCTCCAATCCAATGCGTGCGCGTGCGTGCCAGGTCAAGACGCAAAGCAGACTCTTCGGAGCTGACAATTCGCAGGCCACAGAAGCCGTAGATAATGGACACATGCAGGGATTCTTTTCAGGC